CCTGGGACTGTGCGCAGCAGTGGGAGCCCCGCTTCCTGATGAGCTGCCCAGGCTCCAAGCATCCCATGACCCACCCCAGCCCCTGTCCCACTCCCTCCTTCAATGCAGGGGCTTCAATCTGTGCCCCCATCCCTTCTTCATGACAGACCTACCCGCTGGGGGGGGTGCTCAGCTCCCCCAAATCATATTTTCTTCCCCTGCCTGTGCTGGCAGCAGTCAGCTTCCAGGGGACAGGTGGGGCCAGGGCTGGGGCATGAATGTAGGGTGGCTGTCACAGAGCAAGTGGGACCATGACCAGGGGCTGGGGTGCAGGTGGTACTAAACTGACTGCCAAGGCCATGATGGTATCTAGCACACAGCTGTCCTTCTCCCTGGCCTCCACTGCCTGGGCCACCATGGCAGTTTTCCACTTCTGAGCCTCCAGCATCCTCTCGAGGAAGGCAGCGTGCTTCTCCTCGAGGGTGAAGAGCCTGTTCTTGGAGGCTCAGTCCTCATGGTTCTTCTCCCACTCATGGTCCATGTCCTGCATGCACCAAGCTGGTGAGTCCATCAGCCACTCTGTACAGTGACCAGCCAATCCAGCAGGAAGGTACTGCCTTGAGTGTGCCACTTGTGGAGGCAACACATGCAGAGAGTGCCATCCAAAGGTGGCAGCTAGTACCTCTCCTCCATGTGCTGCTGTGGGACCTGCAGAGCAAGAAAAAAGAGACTCTTCATTAGAATTTGCAACATTTAGAGAAAACATGCACTGTACTGAGGGCCTGTGCAGTGCCTGGCCACAGATTGGGGGTTGTGTGCACATAGGGACCATGGTAAGTTGGCCAGGCAGGCACTGCAATAGGAAGCCACCAGCCAAGCTCTCTGCCCTGTGGGAGCACGTGGTCTTGTTGGCACTTGCTTCAGGCAGCCTGCCTTCCTGATACCCTACCCAGGATGGGCCTAGGGCTGGCTCTGGGCGGTAGCTGCTCCCCTTCTCCTCCTGAAAGCCAAGCAGTTTGCTCCTGTGGCACCAGGCCCATGGTGCCCAGAGTTGGAGGGTGAGGGTCTCCTGCTCAGCTGGGATGTGGAGCTGGTCAAATCCCTGCCCTCAGCATTGCACCACAGTGTAATGATGTCAATAGTCTCTCCCAGGACCTCAGGATGCTGTCTGTGGCATTGGAGATGCTGCCATCATGGGTGCTTTAGTGGATCTCAAAGGCTCAGGCAAATACTTCAGGTGCTGCTGGGGCTCAGCACATGCCTGCAATAGAGGGGCATGATGTCTGGGGGGCAGCCAGGTGTTGGAACAGGCCCCGGGAGCCAGAGCTGGCATAGGTCTACACCTCTGAGACCCATCCTTCTGCACGGTACTTACTGTGCAGTTAATCTAGTGCCTGCATTTACAGATACTAGCTAACTGGGCAGTAGACTTATTTACTGCACAGTAAATGCCATGGACATGTAGACAGTGACACTAGATTAGTCTACTGTACAGTAAAGTGTCTCATGTAGATGCGCTCGTTAACTCACTTTAGAGAAGCATATGAGGATTTACAGTTTTCAAGCTCTTTTACACAACCAGGAGATCCAGATTCTTGCCCTTTCTTTTCTTTTTCTTTTTTTTTTAAGGAAGCTGAGATACGAGAAGCATAGAACAACTACTAAAAGACTAATGATAAATTGATGAAAACTGGCAGTATTGAAAGAGTTTATTCCTCAGCATTAAGACAGCTGCATAGGCCAGAAGGTTTTCAAACAGTACTGGGAAAATTCAGCCGCTTGATTTAAATACCGACCTAAGAGCTGGGTTCTTTCAGATACCCAGTCCTAGTTATGGGTGCTGAGTACTTTAGTTGGTCCTGTACTCATTGTTTAAAACCAAGCCAATCCTAGCCACGTTTGGTATTGGTATTGATAGGCTCCTCTATGCAATTCGTCAATGGACTTTTCAAATCTGAACTTTTTAGCTATATAAGATTTAAAAATAGTTCATGAAAAAAATCTTACCACTGTTATTATTGAACATAATTAACAGATTTTCCAGATTTGATTTCACCAAGTTCAAAATGATCTGTTGGGACCTCTAAAGTTAAGCAGGAGTTCTAATGAAAGTTTTTCAACTAAGAAATATTTTTGCAGCACTACTTAACATTTAAGTGGTTAACATTTGACTATATAAGACTATAAGTTCATAACTGAATTTGAACTAAAAGCTATGGGGATATTGCCTGAAGTGACATTGAATAGCTTTGTATCTGTTACTAAATAAAAGTAACATTAGGTTGTGGTAAAAGCTCAGCTCTCATTGATCCCCTGCAAACAGAGGAGAAAGCAACGCACTCTCTAAATGAAAGAAGGTTGGGTTCTCCTCACAAACCTCAGTTTTGAGAGCTTGACAAGCGTGAGTGTGGTATGTCTTGCAATGAGATATCCCTATCAGAAGAACTGGGTAAAGCTAAAAATATTGTCCAAGTGGTTGTTTCATATAAGGCAGGGGTGGTGAAAATATGGCCTATGGGTTGGATCTGGCCTGCCAACTGATTGGATCTGGCCTGCGGGGGGTGCCAGGCAATTGTCTGTATCTGTCCTGTGGCTGGCCCCACAAGGTGCTTCACATGGAGCCAAGCCCCTCTGACTCCCACCCAGGGCACCCTATGCCATGCTCCCACCTATGCCTGCTGACACCCTGGTCCCAGCCAGCATGCACAGCCTTCTGGAGGGGCTGCTCCTGGTGTGGCTGCAGCTGCTTGGGTATTGTTCAGCTCCCACCACCTCCACAGGCTGCTCCTCCTCCTGCCCCTTCTGCACCACTATGGGCAGCAGGTAGGACATGGAAGCGGCAGCAGCCATGGGGATATGTGCCAGGCACCATACCCAGCTAGGTGTGGGGGAATGCTGCAGCTCCTGTCCCAGCACACGGGGCTCTAGCTCCAGCTCCAGCTCCCAGCTGCCTTCCACCCAACACAATGAGCAACCAGTTCTGAAAGCAGGGGCATGCTGGGAGCTCTGCCCCAGGCCCCAGCCCCATGCTGTCACCGCCTTGAGATCCCGGCCCCAGACCTGGCCCTGGCCACCCATCCCACTCCTGGATGCTGTTCCTTGCCTGTCCATAGCCCCATCCCATCTGCCCAAGCCAGTCTCCATGGAGACCCCAGGATTGCTGGTCAGTGACAATGTGAAGCTGGGGACAAGGCAGAACCACTTAAGGAGTTTTAGTGAGCTGCTGTGGGGTGGGAGAGGAGGGGGAGGTGGGATGCAGAACCAGCTCAGCATGGCAGGGGGGCAGAGATGGTGCTGATACAGCCCACAACAGTTTACCAAAACTCCTTAAGTGGCCCTCAAGCCCAAATAACTGCCCACCCCTGCTGTAGCATGTAGCATATATGGACTCTGCCTTATGTTTCTGGATAACTTCGCCTCCCAGGTGGTCTAGTGAAATGTCCTAGTGGTTGACTCAGAACACAGCTATAATGTGCTGAACTGCAATGCCCAGTAGTCCCATAGTCACAGCCTTAAATAAACTTTATTTAAACAAATTAATAATGTTTTGCAGGCCCCCCAAGCAGACCTCCTTTTATTTTATTTGGACTGAAGCCAGGCAACTAAGTCTTCCAGAGTTTTTTGCAAGCTTTCTTCCTAACAAAAATACCAAGGCTATGATTTTTAAGGTGTGTAAAGAAGTTAGGCAGTCACTCCCATCAAAAACCTAACCCCAAATTTTGGTTATTTGTGAACTCACCAGCAACCTGGGTTTCCAATGTTATCCCCTATGCTGTGAAATATTTTATGATGCTCCAGTCGTTATAATGGAATTTGTGCTATTACGAAATAAACAGCATTTGAGGACAATATGTTATTCTTTTGAAACTTTGAACAACTGGAAGTGTCCCATTAACACCATTGTAATTTATGAGCGATATCAAGAGGATAATAGACACCTGGCATGAGAAACAAAGCTGTCAGACATACGAGATTCATTGTGCTATCCCCAAAAGTATTTCTTACAAGATTCCTTTGTATGTTATCTGATGCTATTAACTTCTGCAATCCTAAAGCTTTCCACTATGGCAAAGCTCTCCTTGACTTCACTGGGAGTAGGGCAGGGGGCCTCACTTAAAATGAACAATCAGAAACAAATTTGCAAATGCATGTATTTATGCTGAGTTCTTCTGAAAGGACTCTGCATGGAATGTGCTAAGCACAGTATAATGAAGTGCCTAGCTTAGTCCCCAGGTACTATATGAGAGGAATTATTTAGTGTAATACACAGGAGTATAGCTAAAATTGAAAAGATGAAATAAAAAAGGAAAAATGGAGACTGAAGAATAGTTTCCTTAAGGTAGTTATGGAATAACCATTGCTTGGGACTTGACTAGAAAATGTGTTAGAAGGAATCTTACACTAGCTAAGATACTAAATGGATGATACAATTACCAGCTGTTGAATCCAAGTAAGCTTTTATCTCCCTCCTTACTCTAAGCATGTGAATGTCTGAATACCTTCTACATAAAAACAGTACTTATATCATTTTCAGCAGTTTTGATTAAGGTAATTTAATGTAGCTCCATTGACCTAATCAGAAATACTTATGATATAGAGTTGAGCAATAGAAATCATATCTATCTATCCATCTATCCTCGTCATAGAATTAAGAAGCATTTATGTGAACTATTTTTAAACTCTTTCTGTTTGTCAGAGTTCATTTTCTGTCTTCTACGAAACTTTTGGCAATAGTGGTTAATTAACTTGAATCAAAACATTTATTGAATTTTCCTTAAAATGTATGTTACACATTTCAGATTTTCAAAAACAAGTTTTTAGTAAACAAAATTTTTAATAAAAATATTGTCATGCCAAGAAAATATTTCTATTAAAATAGTGATAATATTGATGTGTATTTAAAAAAAAAACAGTATAAATATTTTTTTCCAAAAAAACAAAGTTTTTGCTGGCAATGGGGTCCTTGAGGGCAGAGGAACTCAGTGTCCAAGACGAGTGGTCGTTCCTTAAGGAAACGATACTTACGGCCCAAGGGGTGTCCATCCCGACAACAAGCAAGGGGGGCAGGAGTGTCCGAAAGCCCCCCTGGCTCACCAAGGGCGTCCGGGAATGCCTGCTTGCCAAAAAGG